TAGGGTGGTCCTTAAAATGGTCATTTTCAAATTCTTTGCTCCCAGGGGCTCAAATGGTTCCAAATAGATAAAAAACAATTCTCTGAAAATTTTAGCTCTTATATTAACATTTAGATAAAGCGCAATTCAATCAAAGTTTTGTATGGAAATAGCATGGAAAAAATTTCAAAAATTTTAAAAATGTATTCTAGATGTAATTTAGCGAACAAATGAATGAATAAAACTCATTCATTTATCGCTAAGTTATACCTAAAACATTTTTTTTAATTTTCAAAATTTTTTCCATGCTCTTTCCATACAAACTTTGATTAATTGCGCTCTATCTAAACGTTAATATTAAGAGCTAAAACTTTCAGAGAATTGTTTTTTATCTATTTGGAACCATTTGTGAGCCCCTGGAGCAAAGAATTCGAAAATACCATTTTAAGGACCACCCTAATATATATATATATATATATATATATATATATATATATAATAATCGTTTCAGACCAATATTGACAATCAGTCCCATTATACATTCTGTTTAACACATGTTAAACAAGATGTTGACACTTCTTTTGACGTATTTACCTTTTCAAGATTTTTTTCCAAAAAACAGTTCTTCAAAGGTGTCAAAACTTTTTTCCAGAAAAACTATATCGCTGCTTCTCAAACATTGTAGTAATGATTCTTGATTTTCGTAAAAAATCCGAAAATTTTATGATTTTCTATTTATGAAATGTGTGCTAAATAGTAAAAATGCATCTAAAACAGTTTGGAAAATTCTGGGAAATTTATTTATATATATAACATATATATATATATATATTTATATTATATATATTATATTAGGGTGGTTCTTAAAATGGTCATTTTCGAATTTCCTTGCTCCCAGGGGCTCAATGGTTCCAAATTGATAAAAAACAATTCTCTGAAAGTTTAGCTCTTAATATTAACGTTTAGATAGAGCGCAATTCAATCAAAGTTTTATGGAAAGAGCATGGAAAAATGTGTGTTAGGTATAACTTAGCGACAAATGAATGAGTTTTATTCATTCATTTGTTCGCTAAATTACATCTAAAAAACATTTTTACAATTTTTGAAAAATTTTTCATGCTATTTCCATACAAAACTTTGATTGAATTGCGCTCTATCTAAACGTTAATATTAAAGCTAAAACTTTCAGAGAATTGTTTTTTATCAATTTGGAACCATTTGAGCCCCTGGGAGCAAGGAAATTCGAAAATGACCATTTTAAGGACCACCCTAATATATATATATATTATATCTGTTATTTTATTATAGTGTTCCATTTTTCCATTTTTGCGTCAAAATTAATGACTCTTTTTGCGCTAAATATTATTCCTCTGTCATTTTCCATAAAACATGATAAGTTATGTAAATAATATATTTACATGTAATTGTCACAATTTAAACTGTGACAATTACAAGACAAATAACACATTTAATCTTTGTTTATTCCGCAAAGTTGCCGACGGAATTTATACAGAAATAATTGAGTGCAAAAAAAATCTCATTGTGTCTAAAATATTACTAAATTTATTACTAATTTTTACAAAATATACATATAGAAGTTAAATTTGCAAATTAAGTAATATATAATGTCCTACAATTATTGCGGCCCAAATAAAAAAATCATTGTTTGTTAAAATTTTGCTTGACTAGTGTACTTGGTTCAAATTATTTAAAATAATTTAATTTCTAAAGACAAATTTATGAATTTTAGTAATTGTTGTCATAAAAAAATTATTAAAAAATATTAATTTCAAATTACGTGCGTCCTCAGAATCTCATTGAATAGTATGCAAACTATATCTGAATGTGTACCTGTGGGTGAACTTTGATCAAATTTTTATAAATATCTCAAATTTCAATAAAATTTCTAGGAATTTTATTATTTGTTGTGATAATATGCGTATTGAAGTATATGTATTCCAAATTACAAGTCTGTAGTACAAACGGTACGTCCTGAAGATCTCATTGAATAATATGCAAACAATATTTAACTAAGTGCCTATGGCTGTACTTTAATCAAATTTTTATAAAAATCTCAAATTTCAAGACAACAGTTATTAATTTTATAATTTATTATCAAAGTAGACATATTGAAAAATATTATTTCCAAATTTCAAATCTATAGTACAAACGGTGCGTGCAGAGGATTTTATTAAATAGTATACAAAACATATTTGTATGTGTACCTAAGAATGTACTTTGATCAATTCGTTAAAAATATCTCGATTTTTTTAAAAGAAAGTTACTAATTTTAATATTTGTTGTCATAATATACACACTGAAGAATATTTGTTCCAAATTACAAGATTGTGGTACAAACGGTACATCCTGAAGATTTCATTGAATAGTATGCAAACAATATTTATACGTGTGCCTATGGGAGTACTTTAATCAAATTTTTATAAAAATCTCAGATTTCTAGACAACAGTTATTATTTATAATTTATTGTCAAAGTAGACATATTGAAAAATATTATTTCCAAATTTCAAATCTATAGTACAAACGGTGCGTCCTGGGGATTTTATTAAATAGTATACAAAACATATTTGTATGTGTACCTAAGAGTGTACTTTGATCAATTCGTTAAAAATATCTCGATTTTTTTAAAAGAAAGTTACTAATTTTAATATTTGTTGTCATAATATACACACTGAAGAATATTTGTTCCAAATTACAAGATTGTGGTACAAACGGTACATCCTGAAGATTTCATTGAATAGTATGCAAACAATATTTATACGTGTGCCTATGGGAGTACTTTAATCAAATTTTTATAAAAATCTCAAATTTCAAGACAACAGTTATTAATTTTATAATTTATTGTCAAAGTAGACACATTGAAAAATATTATTTCCAAATTACAAGCCTGTAGTACAAACGGTGCGTCCAGAGGATTTTATTAAACAGTATACAATACATATGTGTATGTATACTTAACATTGTACTTTTATTAACTTGTTACAAATATCTTAATTTTTAAAACGAGAGTTAATAATTTTATCATTTTATATCATAATAGACATATTGAGGAATATAAAATCCAAATTACAATATGATAGTACAAACAGTGCGCCCAGAAGATCTCATACAATAGTATGCAAACTATATTTTAACTGATACATATGGGTTGACTTTAATCAATTTGTTACAAATATCTCAAATTTACGTAAAAAAGTTACTAATTTTATTATTTGTGGTCATAATAACCATATTGAGTAATGTTTATGCCAAATTAAAAGTCTGTAATACAATCGGTGCGTCCTGGAGATTTTATTGAATAGTATGCAAACAATATTTAACTAAGTGCCTATGGGTGTACTTTAATCAAATTTTTATAAAAATCTCAAATTTCAAGACAACCGTTATTAATTTTATAATTTATTGTCAAAGTAGACATATTGAAAAATATTATTTCCAAATTACAAGTTTGTAGTACAAACGGTGCGTCCTGAATATCTTATTGAATAGTATGCAAACTATATTTGAACGTATGCCTATGGGTGAACTTTGATCAAACTTTTATAAAAATCTCAAATTTCAAGACAACAATTACTAATTTTATTATTTGTTGTCATAATAGACATATTGAAGAATAATAATTTCAAATTACAAGTTTGTAATACCAACGGTGCGTCCTGAAGATTTTATTGAATAGTATGCAAACAATATTTAAACGTGTACCTATGGGTGAACTTTGATCAAATTGTTATAAATATCTAAAATTTTGAAACAAAAGATACTAATTTTATTATTTGTTGTCATAATAGATACATTGAGGAATATTAGTTCTAAATTGCAAGTCCGTAATACAAACGGTGCGTCCTGAGGATCTCATTGAATTTTATGCAAACAAAATTTAAATGAGTGCTTATGGGTATACTTCGATCAACATTTTATAAGTATTTCAATTTTAGCCAAAAATGTTACTAATATTATTATTTGATATCATAAAAGACTTATTTAGGAATTTGAATTCGAAATTACAAGTCTGTAGTGCAAACGGTGCGTCCACAAGATCGCATTAAAAACTTAAAATAAAATAACTTTAACCCTGCTCGAAGCAAATCAGTTAAAAAAAGAACCACATGTGTGTTTCCTTCATAAAAACAACTAGTGCCATCTATGAATCTTTTCAATAACCAGTGTAGTATCTTTTAACCAAGTAGTTACAAAAGTCCAGGTGCTGTATTTAGTTAAAAAACCAGGCAAAACCATCATTTATTACAACCAAGCCAACCAATCCGATTTCTTCTCCCGCAGGCAAAACCAGGACCAAGGACAAATACCGCGTAGTCTACACAGACCACCAGAGGATGGAACTCGAAAAAGAATTCCAATACACCAGATACATCAGCATCAGGAGAAAAACAGAAATAGCAGCAGTTCTGGCCCTCAGCGAACGCCAGGTCAAAATCTGGTTCCAAAACCGAAGGGCCAAGGAGCGGAAGGTCAAGAAACGAGAAGTCAATACTACCTCTGCACCAGGAATGACTGCTAATAATAATAGGATTTTGGGGTTGGAGTCTGGTCATGTTCATCATCAATATTTGCAGCAATTGCATCATGGTAATGGAGGTTTTGGGATGAACCATTATTTTCCGACGCAGATCAGTCCGGTGGGGAGTTCTCCACTTGGCCTGACTGGTGCGAGTCAGACTCCTGGAGGAAATGGTAATACTGGTGGTAATGTTGAAGGGAATGTTGAGAGGGATGTTGGCGGTGGTGGAGGAAATTTGAAGACGGAACAGATGATGGAATAAAGAAAAAATAGGCAGAGACAATTTTAAACTTGTGATTATAAATTTTAGCCACTTCTGGCACAAATTTATAGATTCTGGACCAAACTTTTGCACCAAGAACCATTTTGGTGAAAATTGAACCAGCGACTTCATAAATATGAACAATTATACCAAGACAGTGTAGTTTTACTAAAAAGAGACTTCAAAAAAGATATAAATATTTTAGTGAAAGACACTTTACTTCAAAAAATAAATAAGTGAAAATTTTTCCTCTAAATTTTTCTTCTGGCTTCTCCACCTTGGAAAAGTTGGCACCCAAAAATTAATTTTATGTGAAAGTATTGACAAAAAAATGATGTCATCATAAACTATAAAAATAGTTTTAAATTTAAAAAATATAAAACGTGTTAAACGGACCAAATTTGGTTAATGTAAACTGATTTAAAAAAAAATAGTGCCTTCGTGTGCGGCAAATAATTTTACCCATATATATATATATATATATATATATATATATATATATATATTAGGGTGGTCCTTAAAATGGTCATTTTCGAATTTCGAAATTAAAAAAAATATTTAAGGTATAACTTAGCGACAAATGAATGAGTTTTATTCATTCATTTGTTTGCTAAATTACATCTAAAAAACATTTTTAAAATTTTTGAAAATTTTTCCATGCTATTTCCATACTTTGATTGAATTACACTCTATCTAAATGTTAATATTAAGAGCTAAAACTTTCAGAGAATTGTTTTTTACCTATTTGGAACCATTTGCGCCTCTGGGAACAAGGAAATTTGAAAATGACTATTTTAAGGACCACTCTAATACATATATATATATATATATATATATATATATTATATATATATATATATTATATATATATATATATATATATATATATATATATTAATATATATGTGTGTGTATTTTTTTTTAGTTTTTAAGTTGTAAATACCTCTGCGAGGCCTCCATAGTATTACACAAACCCTAAACTTTATTTTTGTCTATATAAAAATATCAAATATTAAAAATGATGCATACTCCTTACACCTCACCCCTTTTTTAATGTCTGTGAAATTCACTAGACACTTAATTTTTTTTCTATATTAGTATAGAACAAAACAAATTCTTTTGTTTTTTGTTTCAAAAATTTGATAAAATCATATATCCTTTATCGTGCAATGTAATTATTATTATTAATGTGCAAATTTTAGCTTATTAGTCGAGTTATTAATCTGTTCACAACAGAAACTAAATTTTTAGCCTAAGAGTTTTTTTTAAGTTTTATTTATAATGCATTTATAATATCGTTGTTAGTTAAAATTGTACAAATATTATATAGCACCTTACAAAATTAGTTTATGAGATTTTTTGATATTATTAGTATGTAAGTTTTGCCTTGAATTAGATTTAATGATGCTTGACGGATGTAAATATATATTATTATTATTATTATAAAAAGAGTTTTTGTTTGAACTCGTGCACGAAATTGAAAAAGTGAATAAAAATGTTTGCATAAATGTAAAAAATTTGGTTTTGATTTTTTAAAAATTTTATTTCAGGTTTAAACAATATGTTGGATTTGACGAGCAGGTCAGGATGTGTTTTTGAACTAGATTTTTGTAAAAATGTTATTTATTTGATTACGAATACTAAAATTTATACATAAAATAATTAAATGTATAAAAATATTCCTGAGTTTTAACTTAATAATTTTTCATAATTTGCTTAATTTTTTTAAAATTTATGTGTTGGTGCACAATTAATTCTTAGTGCATATTTGTTATTAACAATTTTTTTTTGATATTTATTTAAATTATCAAAGGATTTTTTTAAGAAAAAGTTATGTAGTCTGAAAGTACATGCTGATAGAAGTCAATTTTGATTAAATAATTGATTTTTAAGCAGTTTTTCCAAGACGACATATATTTTTTTTAATTTTTAATATTTATAGAATATATTCAAAAATAACATATTGAATTTTCAACATAATTTAACAACCTGTATAGCCCGAGGAGCCTTTTAAACATGAGTAATAAACAATCATATTTTACTCGTACATTATATATAGTTTGTTACATAGAGCGTCGATGCACATTTTGGTAAAATAATTTTTTTTATTTGATTTTTCCACTATAATATATATTTTTCTTATACTTAATATTTATATAATATATCTATAAACAACATAATAAAATTCAATGTGTTTCAAGAAGTTATGTAGCCTGAGGAGCTTTTCAAACAAAGAAAATTTTATACCATAAGAGTATTAGACAAAATTTAGTTTTTTTTTAAATTTTCCAAGACAACATATATTTTTGTTATTTTCAGTACATATAACATTTAATTAAAAATTACATATTAAATTTTTGTTACCTTGCAACAAGTTGTACAGCTTGAGGAGCTCTTTGAACATGAGTAAAAATAATCATATATTACTCGTACATTATATATAGATTATTACATAGAGCGTCGATGCACATTTTGCTAAAATCATTTTTTTAAATTCATTTTTCCAAGACAACATATTTTTTTCTTATTTTTAATAGTTAAATAATATATTGAAAAATGACATATTGAAATTTCAAAGTCTTACAACAACTTGCATGGTCTGAGGAGCTCCTTAAACCAGACCTATAAATAGCAACTTATTATAATACAGTAGATCGCCGATGGATAATTGAGTAAAATATTTTTTTTATAGAATTTCACCCAAACAACATATATTTTCCTTATTTTAATAGTTATATATTATATGTTAAAATAACATATTGAATTTTCAAAGTCTTACAGTGACTTGCATGTCCTGAGGAGCTCTTTAAACAAGAGCAATATATAATTACTTTCAATTAACTATGAGTAATAATAGAACGCCGGCGTACATTTTGATAAAATAATTTTTTTAAATTATGTTTTCTTAAACGACATATTTTTTTCTTATTTTTAGTATTCATAGCATATATTCAAAAATAACATATTGAATTTTCAACATCTTTCAAGAACCTGTGTAGCCTGAGGAGCCCTTTAAATAAGAGCAATTTATAATTGTTTATTATTATATAGAATATTTGGATGCCGAGGCACATTTTAGTAAAATATTTTTTTTAAATTAATTTTTACAAGACGACATACTTTTTTATTATTTTTAATAGTTATATAATATATTGAAAAATGACATATTAAAATTTCAACATCTTTCAAGAAATTTTATGGCCTGAGGAGTTCTTCAAAAAATAATAAATTCATGTACTAGTACGCCTGTACACATTTTTGTTAATCCATTATTTTCTTTTAATATTTCTATTACAATATATACTAGTTTTAATTTTAAAATCTATACGATATATTGAAAAAATATATATTACATTTTTAATAATAAAGTTTAAAATAATGAATCAAATTGTAGCAAATTTATAATATCTTGAATAGCTCTTTAAACAAAACAAATATCACATAAAAAAACTTAAAAGTGAGCAAATTGTGGTCCAATCTATTTTTTACAAATTTTTGCATGACGACATATATTCAAATTATTTTTAATATTTATAAAATACATTCAAAAATAATATATTGAAACATCAACATCTTACAACAAACTGTACAGCCTGAGGAGCTCTTTAAACAACAATAATAAACATAAAAGAACTTAAAGACAACCAAAATGTAGTCAAATCTATTTTATACTACTTTTCGCACAATAACAAATGTTTAAAATATTTTTAATATTTATAAGATACATTCAAAAATATTATATTGAAATTTTATCACTTTACAACAAACTGTACAGCCTGAAGAGCTCCTTAAACCAAACTAGTGTAACATACTTGTAACCAAAGAACTAAAAAGTGACCAACTTGTGGTGGAATCTATTTCATACAAATTTTTGCATGGCAACATATATTTAAAATATTTTTAATATTTATAAAATATATTTAAAAATAACATTAAAACATCAATACCTTACAACTACCAGTACAGCCTTCTTAAACCGAAGCAATTTTATATAACACAACGCCGATGCATACTTTGATCGAATCTTTATTTTCTACAAATTTTTATATGGTAACATATACCTAAAATATTTTTAGTATTTGCACAAAATACTAAAGAAAAACACATTTCAGTTTCAAGAATTTTGTACACTCGGTGTAGCCTCACGAGCTCTTCAAAAGTGACATATACGAAATCCTACTTCAAGCCTTTACACTTAACTCAAATTTATATATAACTAACACCAATTTTTTTCATTTAAATTTTATATAACAAATTTTTTTTAATATATATTTGCCAAATTTTTTACCACATATATCCTTTATCTTTCAGGTAAAACAAGAACAAAAGACAAATACAGAGTCGTCTACTCCGATCACCAACGTCTAGAACTCGAAAAAGAATTCAGGTTCTCCCGTTACATAACAATTAGGCGAAAAGCAGAACTGGCCCAAATGTTGGCCCTCAGCGAACGCCAGGTTAAAATCTGGTTCCAAAACCGAAGGGCCAAGGAAAGAAAACAGGTTAAAAAGTTGGACGAACCTCCAAATAAAACTGGTAAAGAACCACCTTTGGCAGGAAGTTCTTCGGGTGCTTCGGAAATGGTTCTTGGTGGTTCTTATTTGGGTGACCATCATCATTTGATGGGAATTTGACAAGATGAAGGGATTGATGATAGTGTCAGTTGGTAGTAAAAAGATAAATGAAATTTGGATTGGATTTTTGGTGATTGAACCAAAAATGGCAGGAAAATTTGTGAGATTATTGTTCGAGTTGGTGGAGGAAAAGTAAATAAAAATTGCACCATATTTTTAGTCCTTAAGGCCTTAAGCCTTACTTAGTGGTAGAAAAATTATTAATGGTTGGTGGAGCGGTATAGGTACAGTTATTTTTCAGTGACATTAATATTTACAAAAATCCTGAAAAAGCAAAAAGTGATTTTGAGATTAAACTCTCCTAATTTGGTGATACGTTTGATAAGATGATGGATATGGCAGCATATGAAAATTTTCGATCTTAGACAATATTTTTGGAGATTGAACCAAGTTTGGTAAAATTATTTATCCGTGATCAAGATTTGATGTTATTAAAGAAGATGTCTAGGACAATTAAACAAATAAAATACTTGTTTAGTGAAAAATGTCAAAAACACTAAAACTTATAAATTTGTGACAAGTGCTAATTTGTGGATCAAATTTTTTTTGGTGCTTTTGGTGCTTAGAACTTGTTGAAAAAAGTTTAAGGGACAAATACTTAAATTTTTGATTTAAAGCAAAAGCAGTTAATTATTTTAAAGAAAATAATTGTATAAATTTGCCAAGGAACAAATTTAAGAAATTTTAATATGCTTTTTTAAGTAAATGGGATCCCTCTGTTTTAAAGAAAAGTGTGTTCAATTCTGAAAATTTTGCAGCACTGTTTTAATAAAAATATTGAAGAAAATTTGCACAATTTATATGAAAAATTTAATAAAGGGTCATTCCAGAAAAATGAAGAAATTTGTAAGTGATTTTTAGCAGACAGAATATAATAAATTTTTTTAAAAGCAAAGTAACACAGAATTTTGAAAAAAATGTCTTTTAACATTAACCAATACTCTTTTTACGTAATTTTTTAAAAAAAGTGATAGATATATTTGGAACCAGTATTCTACCAGTGAGATATTGAATACAACTTACATAGAAAAATTTGCTAAAATTCAAGAAGATCTGGAAGAAATTAAAAATTATATTTTATGTGAAGAATTTGATTTTTTGTATTTGAAAAAAAGTTGAGAAATTGCATATATCTTTCTTTCACGAAGAAAAAAAAATCATATAAATTTGAGAAAAAAGCTAGACAAAGTGTACGTGAATATAATTTTCAAAATTCGATTTTTTGTTATTATTTAAAAATTTGACACCACCATTTTAAGGAAAAATTATAAAACTCCAACATCACTTTTTTTAAAAAAAAATCTGAAATTGGACAAGTAATGTAAAAGAAAGTTAAAGTATATTCCTGTTAAAATTTTTTTTGTTATTATAAAGCAAAATAAAGAAGAAATTTGATACCACCTCAAAAAGAAAAAAATTAAGCGAAATAATAAGACAAATTTTTACATAAATGAGAAACAAAAGAAAGTGTTTATTTAAGCTAAAAATGTGATTATTTTAGAAGAAAATAATGCATAAATGCACCACTGTTTTTTTTTTTAAAACAAGTAATTTTACAGAACCATTTTAAGTAATAAATTTTACCCAACTTAAAAAATAGTGAAATTAAACAAATGATTTAAGAAAAAGTGTATATTACTAAAAATTATTAAAAATGAATTTTATAGTGAATAAGTGCAACATTTTAGTAACTATGAGAACAACATTTTAGTGATTTTTTTTTTAATATTTATACAGTATATTTAAAAATACTATATTAAATTTTCAAAATCTTACAACAACTTGCATGGCCTGAGGAGCTCTTCAAACAAGAGTCACTTATAATTGTTTATTATTATGTAGACGCCGATGCACATTTTGGTAAAATAATTTTTTTACAATATATTTTCTTGAACAACATATTTTTTCTTATTTTTGATAGATATATATTATATGTTATAATAACATATTAAATTTTCAAAGACCTAAAACAACTTGTATAGCCTGAGGAGCTCCTCAAATATTATTATAAAATACATTATGTATATAATAATAGAGCGCTTATTCACATTTTGGTAAATTTTTTAATCATATTTTTTTAACCAACATAATTTTTTTATATTATTAATTTTATACAATATATTCAAAAATACCATATTAAATTTTCAAAGTCTTACAACAACTTGCATGACCTGAGGAGCTCTTCAGATAAGAGCCATTTATAATTGTTTATTATTGGACACCGATGCACATTTTGGTAAAATAATCTTTTTACATTATATTTTCTTAACCAACATATTTTTTTCTTATTTTTGATAGTTATATAATGTATGTTAAAATAACATATTGAATTTTCAAAGTCCCAAAACAACTTGTATAGCCTGAGGAGCTCCTCAAATATCATTATAAAATATATTATATATAATAATAGAGCGCTGATACACATTTTGGTAAAATAAATTTTTTAATTATATTTTCCTAACCGACATAATTTTTTTTATTTTTAATATTTATAAAATATATTGAAAAATAATATATTAAAACATCAACACCTTACAACAAACTGTATAGCCTGAGGAGCTCCTTAAACCAAACTAATCTAACATAAAAGAACTTGAAGATAACCAAAATGTGGTCCAATTTATTTTGAAAATGTGATTATTTCAGAAGAAAATAATGCATAAATGCACCACTTTAAAAAAAAACAAGTAATTTTACAAAACTATATTTTGAGATATAAATTTTACTCAACTTAAAAAATAGTGAAATTAAACAAATGACTTAAGAGAAAGTGCATATTTACTAACTATGATTAAAAATAAATTTTATAGTGAATAAGAGCAACATTTTAGTGAAAAAACTGTTTATTATTATTATAAATAATACTAATAGTGAGAATTAACTGCAAATTAATATTTGGAGAACAATTTTGGTAAAAATTGTGGTTCATAATTAGTTATCCAGGTTTCTGTACAAACGATAAGTGTTTCTTAATTAATTATAATAATTATAGAATTTAGTTCTAGGTCTTAATATAACAAAAATTATGTAGAAATGCAAAATATATGTAAACAAAAAATTTATTTCCTAATCGACTATTAAAACTGATTTTTTTAAAGTTTTTTTTAAATAATTTCAAGTGTTCTGAATGTTTCTTTAGACGTAGAAAACCTGTTTTTATGGGAACGCCTACGAAAAACGTAGCCACGCCTGAAATTTATATATATATATATATATATATATATATATATATATATATATATATATTTATAGCAAACATCCATTTGAAAGCTTAATGCCAGATGAATTAGAGTCGTACTAATTTATATATATATATATATATATATATATATATATATATTATATATATATTATATAATTATATATATATATTTATGAAATTATATTAATTTAACAAAAATTTCCATACTAAAATATATTAATAGATAATTTTAGTTAAACATCGTCACATACTGCTCGCATATGATTTTTTTTTTCATTTTCATCATTATTTTATTTAAAATTTAAATTATTCAAGATAAAGATGAATTGTTTAAAAAGTATAGTAATTAAAAATTTATTAATTAACTAATTTTCAGCCTAATATTTCTCTGTTAAACAATTTCTGTAAGTATGTAATTTAAATTGTCTTGAAAGATTTCAATTGGAACTATTTAAAAAAAAAATCACACACGTTTTACCTATAATGAAAACTTAATATTTTTGAATATTCTGAAAATACACATTTTATAGTTTAAAACTAAATTGTATATAATTGCACATTTTGTGGAAGATCTTACAAAAACCGAACAAACAATTTCATCTAAATTTTAAATAAATTTTCAAACAAAATATTTACTAAACTTCCCAAATTTAATTTAATTTCACATTTTTAAACAATTAGCTAAAATTTGCTTTTAACTAAAAGATCTGCCTGTAAAATAAAGAAAACGTCTTAGAATTTTACAATATATTTAAATTTAAAATTTATTAAATTTATAAATTATTAATATTGTATATAAATAAATATTTTTGTTTATTACTAATTATACTATGTAATTTATAGTGTATAAGTATTATTATATATTATTATTTAAGAAAATTATTATTATTGGAATTGTGATCGTCAAGGCTTATTATACATACATATGTTTTATTAATGTATTTTATTTATTTATAAATTATATATAATAAAAAAATTGAATTAGTACTATTAAATATATATTATATTAAAAGCAACGCTGTATATTGTTAAGAAAATTTAGCTTTGTGACAACTTTAGTTTAAATTGTTAATAAAAATATGAAAATTGACTCAAATTATTTATTTATATAATTAATATAATACTTAATATACACATATGTATTTATAAATAAATATATATATATATGTATATGTATAAATAAATAAATATATATATATATATATATTATAAAAATATTGGCATTTTGCTCTTTGAAATTATTTATATTTAATATGAAACATATGTTATAAATTTTGGTTTTTGTAAAAAAATGTATTAAGTTTTTACAAAATTAAATGAATTTATTAAATTTTCAACATTTATAATATCAATTTGCTTAATAATTTTATTTATAAATATTACTATGTTTTTGCAAATTATTTCTAAAGTTTTATCTTTCATTCTATTATTTTTGTCATTCAAGTTTTATATAAATAGTGTATTTTCAATAAGTTCTTGAACCCGTACTATTTGTTCTAGAATGCTGATATTTTAGTATATTATTCTTCAGTATTTGTATTTTGTATATAAATTATAAACTGAACTATTTTAGAACAAAATTTGTTCAAAATTTTGCATTTTGTTTGCATCCGCCATTTCGGGATTCTTATTGGAAAATCTTGCTTTGAGATGGAGTCTTATTGGAAATTTTTTCTTTCATAATTTTTGAATAAAATACAGCTTTTTATAAAAATATGTCCATTACTATTATCTCGTCCATTACTATTAATTCTATTCCAAATGTTTTTTCTCCTATCGGCCATTCTATTTTTTGTTCGTCGGCTTTTAAAAGTTGAATGTAATAAAATTCGGCCTCTTTATTTATCATCATCAAAAAAGCACAAATGATATGCCGATGGCCGTGAGATTAAAATTCGTGATTAATAATATAAGAAACAAGAAAAAAAAACAACATGAACAGTTAATGGGTTTTTGCCACGGAAAAGTTTTTTTTAGACAAATGGCGGATGTAATGGAAAAGTTTGGGTAATAGTGATAGAAAAAGAACTCTACTGATGAGCAAACAAAGTTTTGACTTGAGGCAAAAATGTTCTATATTCACATATTGCTAATTAAAAAAATATTAAAATCCGTATTTC